CCCCAAATTTATTTTAATACAAACTCTTTAGGATATCTAATTATACTGAAGAATGGAAGAATATGGCAGGTAGCATTATCGGTGAGAAGGTAAATATATATATAATATGGCTAGAGTCCTTGTTGTTGGTCTTTCTCAGGCAAACGAAGGTGAAGCAGGTTTGGTGCTTCACTCTGGACCTATATTTTTGTTTCTCATGATTGTTGCCTCTCTTTCTATTATTTCAATCATCATATTTGCCTGTGGAGACGACAACAAAACTAACAGGTGTCGCAGACATCGAGGTGGAGGTGGATGTGGAGGTAGCAGTGGTGGCGGTGGATGTGGAGGTAGCGGTGGGGCCGGTGGGGCCGGTGGTGGTGGTTGTGGAGGTGGCAGTGGTGCCGGTGGTTGTGGAGGTGGCGGTGGTGGTGGCGGTGGTGGTGGTGGTGGTTGTGGAGGTGGTGGTGGAGGATGTTAGAAACTATCTATATACAAAGTGCATGAAGTATAGCAGATATAATACCATAATACCCCAAATTTCCTACTTCATTTTACTTTTACATTTCTTACTTTTATAGTGTGATGTATAATTTTTTTTTTATCATGGATATATTATAGTTTCTGATGACTAAGAATTTTTCATATCATTGATTATTTGTCATATAATGTTGTTGTATTTCTACACAGTCACGAAATCATTTTATCTTTTCAAAATTAAATAATAATTATTCAAAATATCATTAATATTAAAATATTCTAATTAATTCCTAATTATCTTCTCCTTATTTTTTTTTTTTATTCCATCAAACTCTGAAAATTAAATATTTAATTTTACTCACGACCAACAGTTTCACGATATGCAGGTATGCCTCCTTTTTTTCTGGTATTATATCTCGTTGTCTTAGAAGAAAACAAAAACACTCTTCCAATTTTAGTATGCTACAAATCAAACGTAAAAATTACACGTTCCCAAACATATGAAGTAGATTTAGATTAAAACATATTATCTACATATATTTAATTAGTCTATTAATTCTTAACTTATGTTAATTTCATGTTCAATTTATTTTGAATATTCCATCATCAGACCAATAAGAATTATTCAACATTTATTTTCACTCTTCCTTTTGCCTCTCTTATGTGTTTTACCAAATAATTTTAAATTTTATTTTTTTCTTACTGATTACACTCTTTCATTTAATTTTCATCAATATATTAAATATAAACATCATTTAGAGTCACTTTGTTATCACGAAGTGGTTGCATTTATATATCTCTAGCCACCAACATAATGTAGAAAAATATAGATAACTCAGTAGGTAATTAAATTAGTTGCTGATTAACTATTAAATTACGAAAAAATAAACATAAAAACAATGAATCATTATTTTACCGTTTAAGTGGAATTAAATTATTCCACGACGAGTAACTATAATAAGCAACTAGTATGATCGTTTTAGATTAAGAAAAAAATATGAAAAATAATTATGAGAAATAACTCTATAATAAAAGTCAAATGAAAATAAATATTAGTAATTTTATCCAAAAAATACTCACAAAATTATTTCATTGAATATTATACTAATAATACATCGAATATAAAATTAGTGGATAGATTAACATAATTTAAGAATACAAATTTAAGTTATTAGATGTTGTAAAACTATTTTCTTTTGAAAAGTCATTTATAACATGTTATATATATATATATATATATATATATATATATATATATATATATATTTCAATTCTAGAGGCCAACGTCAACAAATATCTTTAATAAGGTGTGGTTGAAACTTCAAGTTGTGAAACTTCTAGGAATTTGCAGATTTCTAGCTGGAGATTATAGCTACTTCAACTTTTTTTAATATATTTTCATCATAATAAATAAATATCCAAAAAGTCAAACAACATTGTAATCCTATTAATATGCTGTATTTTTTTTAATACGTTCAATGTCTTGTTTAACGAAACTAGCTGGATTAGGTCAGGTATATATAATATGAATGATAATTTAAACGAGATTAATTACAAACAAGTTAATTCCGTTAGTTATTTCAGTTTTAATCTTCTTTAATTTCTCTTATTTTTCAACATTCACGAATATGTTCATCTCATATTTAGTTAAAGACAGTCAATTTTATTTTTTTTAACATATTAATTTTGAAATAATTTCCTAGTAATTTCTCAGAAACTTAAAATGAAAGATAATTGAAAACAAGTTTTTTATATATATGGTCCCATTTGAAAATTTACAAGTCATTTTCCTTGAGAGTGTTAGCTTGAACAAAAAGATAAGGTATGATTTGAAATTTGTTGGTATTTGCGTGGTTCTAAAGAATCATACTCGTTGACTTGACATAGATGGTAGCAATTAATTCCAGATTTATAAAGGATCATTTAGCTAACAAGCATTGTATGGCTAGACACTTCCTTCTTGTTCATGATGGCGAGGCAAATGAAGGTGAAGCGGGTTTGGTGCTTCACTCTGGACCTGTATTTTTGCTTCTCATGATTACTGTCTCTCTCTCTATTATTTCAATCATCATATTTGTCTGTGGAGACAACAAGACAAGCACTGGTAGTGGCGGCCGCACTAGGAGTGGCGGTGGCGCTGGATGTGGAGGTGGCGGATGTGGTGGTGGATGTGGCGGATGTGGCGGTTAAGTGGTTTGAGTGATACACAAAGTGCATGGAAAATATTAATGGACGAACCTGCAGTCTTAAGGTAGACATTGTAGTTTAAGTTAATGTAAAAGATATTTGTGTTAGTGAAATAAACTAAACAAAATCATTTATGTAGCATTATATGATAATAAATATACATAGTTATGTTTTTCAAGGTTTTTTTTTATGATTTGATTATTTATACTATGTTTATATTTAATAAAAATGATAATGAAATTGCATTAATTTTTTTATTACAAGATTATATAATTTATTTGTACATATAAGAAAAATTAAAATTATAAATATAACAATAATCATTGAAATATTTACATGTGTCTTTATTTAATGATTTTTTACTATAAATATATACTTGACCAGCCAAAATTTATCGAATTAATGAATATCTTATGTGTTTTATATTGTGATCAAGATTTCCGTTAGAAATGGAAACTTTAACTGACTAATCTGAATGATATCATTCGTTATGTTTACATTCCAGTTTTGATCTATGCATTGGATCTTAAATGGAATTTTGCCCTTTCCATAATATTATTATATCCATAATATATATATATATATATATATATATATATATATATATATTTTTTTTTTTTTTCATTTGAAATTGTGAAAAGTTATATTTAAAATTAAAATCAAATTCACACTCACAAATTATTAATTCAACATGTATTCAAGACCTATAAAAATAGATTAATAAAATCAACAATAATTAATATATATATATATATATATATATATATATATATATAAAAGTTATCAAATTCTTGAGTAAACTTGTTGACTCTTACTAGTCAAATAACTAGGTACAAGTTGATTAGCAAGTAAACTCTTTTTAGAATAGATTCGGAGTCAAATTTGGTAGACTCTAAGTAAACTTTCGAATTAGAGGCGAGTCAAACTCTCTTTATATTTTTCTCATAAGTTCATATATCGCTCATTGTCACTGTTCGTTGCTGCTTATAATCATCATGATCGTCGCCGCGTGCTTGTCCTTGGTCGCACGGGTGGTCACACGATGCTCGCTTAGGTCGCACACGTTTACCTAGGCCGCACAAGTTCAGCTGGGTCGTGCGGTGGTGCACAACATTCACCTGGGTCGTGCGGTGGTCACGCTCTTTGTCGTTGCTCATCGCTGTGCACTGCCCTCTAGGTTAGATTGACAAATTAAGGGATTTGGGATTTTAGGATTTTAGAATAGATAAAGCAGATTAGATTGAGAGATTGAAGAATTTTGAATTTTAGGGTTTCGCATAAATGGAGAGATTGTAGACATTTAGAATTTTTTTTTTTAATTTTGATTATACTATTATACAAATTCAATTAAGTTTTTATTTTAATTATTTTAATAATAAGAAATTAATATTATTATATTTATTATTAAATTTATATTTTTCATATAAAATAAACTCTTACAAACCTCTTACTAATCTAAATAGACTCTCAAGTCTAATAACCTATCTATCACGATATTATAGATTTGATGAAGGATTTTTATATGATAAAAAACGTAATTTTTCTGATTGTGCTTAGATATGCCTCGTTACATTTTGAAAATTAATTTCTAAAATATACAAAGTAATTCTAGTAACTTCCACAATATAGAAGAAGAAAAAAGATTAAAAAAAACATCCATGAAAAACAAACGAACAAAATGTAAAGACAATGGCCCTGGGAGCAAGAAACCCTAAATTGTATTGAAGATTGATTTGAAAACAGACTCTAATTTTGTATTTAAAATCCATTTATATATTTGAAGAAAAAACAGAAGTAAAGTATTTTAAAACAAGTTATAAAAGGATTATCGTCAAATAAAGTGTTTTTGTAAGTTATCCCACATAACTTGATAAAATAAAAATTGACAATATCTTCCGGAAATAGTTATCTGTATAAATTCTCACAACCACTTACAAAGGTATTTAATATTACTAATATTGTAATATAAATTAAAAACAAACTCATACAAAGTAGGCTTAGTTGTTAGGGATTTGATTCTTTTTGAGTGAACATAAGGCCTAAAAAACTAGAGAGGCTACAACTATGTGAAGCCTGAAAATGACACAATGTTACTAAAAACTGTGACCAAATCACAACACTTTATTCTTCATGAAAACAGATTTTGATATGACCACTGACAAGTACTATTTCAACATTACGAAACTATTCTACTGGATTAAGCTGAGGTCTATAAATAGATTACACTAGAGTGCATTATTATGTACATACTCAAATGCCTAACAGACATAGACAAAGAATATAATTATTGCACATTCCAGTTCCCTTTGTTGTATCCTAAAGATAAGCCAATTTCCTTTTGGTAAGAAAATTTTTCAAGTTCTAATAACTGGACCCCTGTACAGCCCTCTCCGGATCACAAAGTCATCAGGAGGTTGAAACTCTTCTAACCAAGTCAGTTCAGAAACCGTCACTCCATCTAGCTCAACATTCACTGCAGTGGAAATGATGGTTGGCAATGGTGTAATATGATTAACACAACGCAATTCCAAAGGTTGAGGTAGAACTGACGATGAAAACAAATCAGATTACCTCGGAGATCTTTCCTTTGGGATTGCCGGAAGTAGGTGCAGTGTCTTCCATGGTCTGCAGAGTAAGGGGGTGACAATATGTCAAAGATAGCACAAGGAGTTATAGCTCTAAAACAATGGATGTTTCCTCCACTGGTGGGGTAAAGAACCGTTGTGGGGCTTGGCGCTGTCATATCAGTATCTTTGACGAGCTTTGCAGGTCGAGCTGTTAATCACAGATTAACAATTTTGATGTCAGGAGAATTAAAAAATAAAAAGTTTTAATCTTAACTGAACCACAAATGAGGGAAAAAGAGACAGGAAATACAAATGAAGGGATACTGATTACGGGAAAAGGATAGTGCTCTGCAATACAGATCATGGAGTTCTTGTTAAGTTGTTATATATCAACCACTATATCAATAATTAGTTTTATTTTACTACGATCAGGTTCATATACCTGCATAATATAACCCTACCAAGTCTATTCCGGACCAGAGTTAAGGAAAAGTTATTTAACTTGGCAATTGCAACTTTTCATATTTAGTGTAATTGAAGTTGTAAAGACACATGTTCGGTTTGTGGCTATAGAATATAAACTATATGTAAATATTATTAGAGGTCAAACAGATAGTTTGAGACAAAAGAATGAGTGGGGAAATAGTGGAACTGCAAAAGCACAATCCTTGCCCATCACGTTGGTTACCATAATACTGATGGTGCCATACTGGTCATAACATAATATGAATTCAATAATATGGATATGGCCATTCTGTACTAAGAGAATTCTGTACGTTATACATTGCTAGAGATACTGTAAAATAGTGAGTTAGTGGTTATGGTAACAATGGATAGAAAAATAGGTGTTATCGAACTTGAAGCTATTGCCAATCTTTGCATGAAGATAACTTCCCAGCAAAGATAAAATACAAAGCTTCATGAGAAAACTGCTACCAGACCCCACATTTAAGAATGAGTCAACGTCAAACAATTAGGTAGAGAAGAGATGTATATAATATAGGGAGAACAGAAAAAAAAAAAATCAATCTTTGGTTTTGGAGTAGAAATTGGGTGCAGAGTTCAGATCTCTCGTACAACTGGGTACGGAAGAGAATTCATTCAACAATGTAAAACTACAAATTGGATGAATTGTAGGAAAATCACATTAAACATTTTCATAAATATAATCATAATAAAAATTAAGCTTCAAGATTATCATATTTTTCTAGTTTAGTTTAGTGGCAGAATTGCAAATGTACACATCATAAAAATAATCAGTTTTGTTCATTGCTATGCATACTATTTTTCCATGCACAACACATCTCTATCAAAAGGCCAAAAGAAAGGCTAGCAGAGTTCTCACTACCTCGATGTCCAACAAGAACCAAACCAGGGAAGATAAAGTGAAACTAAAGACTGGCAAAGTTATGCTAAATATTCATAGTTAACTGCAATAACATAGGTACAGTCGGGCACACTATATGTGGGTGCCTCTCTCCAAGGGGTTTCAAAATTTCAAACCATGCTTCTCTAATCATTACACCATGGGGACCAGCTTCTTCCACTAAATTCAATCCCAATCAGTTAAAATCTTCAATGCGACAAGGATGTAGGTTTATTTATACAGACATTTAGTTCCTTCTTAAGACCAATAATTTATCTGAAAACTAGCACTACCACGAACATGTAGCTGCTGAACTGTAATGTGAACTATTTAAAACCCTGGATTAGATGCAGACATGGACCTTTCAGTTGTATAGCATAAGAAACATACTATATTTTACTTTCAACAAATTATAAAACTGATTTACCAAGTCATTATACGTCCAGAGAATCATCATTACAATTTACAAGTAAACCAAAAGTATGACTTTACAGTGGAATGGTTTAATTATAATATATTGTCTTTACCTCGGTGACCAAAAAGGTCATGGGCTCAAATCATGAAAGACTATTTACATTTGCAAGGGAAAGGCTGTGTATAATTACCCTCCTCCATAGCTTCACGAAGGTAGACCTCTGGGGCATTTTAGTTTAGTTTATTGAGATATTTTGGGCAATTTGAAGGTAAATTATGAAAGAGATAAATTAGTAAATTCCAAATCTTATGGTAAAGTAGTAAATTCCAGAATTATGACAGCTTATAGTTCCACATCACGAGACAACTTTTTTATTTATAGTAAATTATTAAATTCCAGAATTTCTACCAAGAAATTTGTAGTAGACTACACAGCCTTACCCCCACAAGGGGAGAGGCTTCTTCCAGGATTTCATGATTTGTCAACTTCTAGAAAAACTCTTAGCTCTAATTTTTTTTATTATTTCAACACTTGTGTTCCAGTTGAATTGATAACAGCTAATAATCTAATTGGTCAGAATAAAGCATTGAAAAGAACAAAAAAATTATCGTTTATAGTTTATGATATGTCAAAGGCAATAAATTTTTGCAGTGACCAAGTAGTTTAGAAGATGAAACTCATATAGATTGAAATTCTACTCCAATCAATGATGTTCACCATAATGGTATTGGAGAAGATGACATGAAAAATAACGGATCAGAAGCCATTCATATGAAAAAAAATATTTCCTTTATAAACTGTTTCACAAGGAAATTTTAAATCCTCATATCCAACAACTCAATTTTAAGAAGGACCTAATTTTATTGGGATAGATTTTTTCTGTCCAAATTGCAACAATATATTAGAGGCCCAAACACAGTAACAAATGAATGGGGAATAAATACATTCACTCTAAAGTTAAACTTGGAGAAGAAAATTTAGAAATTTTGCAAGATCTTCAAATATTCTCGTACAAATTTATATGGAATGAAATATTACAAAATGACGAGATATTTTAACACAATCTCAGTGAATACTTTTAGGGGTTTAACCAGGCTATTTTAGGAAATTTAAGAAATTATAATGGAATTGCAGTCACATTAATATATAACAAGGATTGGGAAAATTCTAGCTCAAAGTTTATTTTCCAATCACATTCATTGGTGCTTTTAAAAGAGCCTGTTATATGTAAAATGAGATAGAATTTGTATTTGACAAAATGAATATTACAACAACCTGTTATATATACAAACTCATACACATCACTCTAACTTTGTCACTTAGACCCTCTTGCAAGGTTTCAATATAAAGAGTCTATAAAATATGACTTTATCTGTTTTGTCTTTGTGCTGTTACACACATTAGAGCGTGAAGAAAGGATAAAAATCACTATAATTTATGGATTTGAGTATAACCGTAACCTTGATATATAAATCCCAAATGGCTGAGTATTCTATTGAGCCATTCCGAAAATTCTTACAAATTAAAGAACTTATAGTACAGTAATAATTAGGAAGTAAAGGAGTAACGAAGAACAAGTCTCTATCCCTTTTTCACGTTTAATTTAGTGTCATGACAACTTTAACCTTTTCACAACATGTTTTTTATTAAGCTTAGAATGATATCATATAATAGCATCAACAAAGATCATGTGCCATGTACTGATTTCTGAACTAATTACTGCACTCCTGCTTTTATCTTAGTTGTCCAATAAAGGAATGGACTACTTTGGTGATGCCTAGCATAATACTACCATCTCTACTACCTCAATGAGGCTGACTATTCTTTGAGAAGGTAAACGTAAAGAAGGGCAATCAAACTCCCATGTACAGCATTAAAAAATGGACTAAGCAACAGTAAAATATATATGAAGTTATAGAAAATAGACCTTCAGATGGATCAGTGGAGCCAGGTGCATCAATCCAATCATAGGATTTAACATGCATCGAACCATATAACAGCTTGCTCAACACTGTCATTCCAGGATGATTATGGAGAGGAATGATGGATGAGGGGGGCATGCAAAAAATTCCTATCTGCAAAAGATAAAGTAAATCAAACCTCAGCTAGTACTGCAAATTTAAGGCCCGAATATTATAAAAATTTCAATCAGAATAAACATGATCTGAATTTATGAGACTTTACTTACAGAGAATGAGTCACATTCATGCAAATGCAAATATTTTATAGGTGGCAAGGATTGATGGCTCCCATTACGCTCGAGTACTGGACCAGGCCAATTCCGAACCAGTTGTGCTTCTTGTTCAAGACCTACATCTGATGGTTTGATTCTTTCTGTAGAAACATTATGTAAGGTTATCAATAAAATATTGGTTAGACAAGATCAAAGTCATCTGAGAACTATGACAGAAAATCATAAAGCTATAAGTAGTAATTTGTGTTAATTCTTCATTCACTATAAACCATGCAGGCATGTCTCAAGATGAAGGAAAATACTAGAAAATACACACTTTGAATATACAACTTATGATAAATCCTTATTTTCCTCACCTCAATAACATAGCTGCAGAACTGTACTAAGTACAATCCATTATCTAAATTGACAAGTAAAACAAATTATACATAAAAAGAAAAATAGATTGTAACAGTTGATTAGGAGCAAAATATATTTCAAAAGGATGATCTGTTCCATTATATATTAACAGATAATCAGCAAGTAAATTTATACAAAGATAAAAATTAGAATTGCCACAAAGCTTCAAGTTTTTAATTCATCCTAAGGTTAAACATAACAGTATGAACCAAAGTCTACCCTTAAAAGGAGCAATAATAAAAAGGATTACAAGCAGGCTTACTGCGCTGTCCCACAAAATTTAACCTTGAGCCTTTAATTCCTTCAAAGAGACAAATACTCTAAACTGGTTTTGGCGAAAGCATAGAGATATGTGATTCAGAAGAAAAAGGGAGGGAATCAAAGAAAGCTTAAGATATTTAGACAGAGTATAGTACAATCAATTATCCACATCTACCTCTCTTTATATGCCTTCACAACTTTCATTCATTGTTAGGAATCATGCATTCAACAAAGTTGATGACAAAAATTAATTTAAAAGCAAGATAAACAAGTCAAAAAGGAAATATACCTAACTTCTCACGAACTTTCTCAATGACCTCTTCCGACACAGGTCCATCAGATGAAAAGGATGCATTGCATAGCCTATAAAGTCTCTGTATATAATATGGCATCTTGCAAACTTGAGACCAACTTATCTATTCACTCAGACCAAAATCCCCAGGGTCAGCAAGCTGATAACACCTTGTAAGTGGCTTACTGATTGCAATAGGGACTGGATATACAATTAGATAACAACCGTATTTTAGCCTCAGAATCAAACCATCGGTAATGAATCTGCATGGTCGTAACGTTTCCTTCCCAACAATTCAAATTAATGGATCTATTGAACAAGGAAAGAACAATAGCGAGCCAAAAATCAATGACCTCTACTTCAAAAATAGAAGTATCACAGCAAGTGCAACCACAAGTCATGAAGTAATGCCAACATAACCATTAGAATCACCATCAAATAGTTCAAAAGCATTAACACTCGATTTCATTTCTAGGTAGTTATTGCAAAAATTACATTGTCAGTATAAAAAGGTTTACACCGTCAATTAAATGTTGATACAACTTTTCAGGTATATATTGTAAAATTAACAAACCAACCATACATGATGGTTTGTAATTGAATCAGTTAGTGCATCCACTGTTTACTCCTCTATTATTATATGCATTCACGAGAAAGGAATTTACTTGTACATCAAAATTAAGTAAACCCAGCACAGATAAAACCCACGTGAAACTCTCCATCATTTCCACTAAATAAACCATACTCCCAGAACCCAATGTGATACTCCAAGAACAAAACACACATTTCATTTATTTATTTACGTCATAGAAATACAAACACCGTTTATTAATTAAACCAGGGAAGAGTTCAACAACGAAAAATAGAGAGTGACCCAACAGATGTAGCGAGCTGACAAGGCGAGTATAGGCATCAAAAAGGGATTTTGGATCAAAATCTGAAATGGGGTAAACGAGATTCCAAGAGAAGAAGGGAAGGGTGGGAGATGCAGAAGAAGAAGGTACCTGAGAGAAACATGATTAGAAGGTGAGAAAGGTGAGGAACATGGTGGATTGGAAAGAGAAGAAGAAGATGAAGGGGTTGTTGTAGGAGGATGAATGTGCGTGCATAGAAGGAGAAGCGAGGTATAGTTGGTATGAGTGTGTGAGGAACGGAAAGGGTAGGAGGCGAAAAGAAAAAGGCCCAAGGAAGATCTTGGACACGTCATCAGCGTGTTTTTTTGGGTTGAAATAAAAAAATGAGAAAACAAATTGCAGGTTTGCCTTTTGTGAGATTTTTTGAGCCGTTTTTGAAGTCCAGCTGTGCCCGACCACCTTTTTTCTTTCCTATGTTTTTCACAGCTGTTAAAAGGAAAATGACAAACACGCCTCTCATTTCTTGTCTACAACGTGTAACGAACCAGCACGGTAGTACATACATTTTACATCATTTTATCCCTCAAATAGGGAAAAACATGCTTTCATCTATCTACACATGTGATAAATAATAAAATATATACAAAAATTATACTTCTCTCTAATTTTAATAAAACAAGATTAAAAATTCAAGTTTTAAAAAATAAAAATTGAAAGACTAAAATAATAATAATAATAATTTCATATTTACGTGTAGAAACAAATACTACCTTATTTGTCTGTATTTTTTTTATCATGTTATTTTATTTTAATAAATTATAATTTCCTGTTTATATTAATTTAATTTTATATTTTTTAATAAAAATATATTATTATTTTTAAAAAAGTTAATAAAATATGTATTATTTTTAAAATAAAATATGTGTATTATTATTATTATTATACAAAATTTGTTAAAATAAAAGTATAATAAAAATCTATCGGCTCATCTGTTTCTATTAATTATTATATAAATGATTTTTTTCTAACTGCTTTTAGAGTTATGGTTTATATAATAATATGTATTTTATCAAATAAAATATTTTTATTTTTATTATGCTATTAGTGAAGTGGGGATAGATTATATAGAAAAATTATTAAAGTATTATGTATTTGAAAAAAAAAGTATAATATTTATGAAGAGAGTGGAGAAAAACACATAACATTTAATAGTTTATGAATGAATGATACAGTGGATATTCAGTCATAAATCAAATGATTTAACATTAATAATAATAGATTTTATTATAACACATTGTTTATTTTAAAAAGTAACCAATTATAAACACTTAAAGTCAAAAAAATCAATTTAATCCTAAAAATTTAAATAATCTGAATTTTTTTATGGTTCATAATATAATATTTTTTTTATCTCAAATAAATTCCTATTTATTACCATTAAAATGTAATCTAGTTCCTATTTAAAAATGGGAGTTAGTTTCAAAATTATTTATTTATGTAGTGATAACTTTATATATTTAAAAAAACATTTAATCTAAATCCTTGTTATTTATAATATTTTAGTTCATCACAAAGTATATTTATTGTGTGACTTCTGTCATTTGAACTCAAATATTAAATATTAAATTACTTTAATTAACTAAAAAATTTAATTAGTTGAACGTATTAAAAGAAATTTTATGAACAACAAGTTTAATGAGATATTTTCGAATCAATATCAGAAGAATATTTTTCTGATAAGTGTTGGCTCTTTCATCTTGCAAAAGGAAACTTTTTGATGAGCCAAGAGACATGTATAAGTTCTGAATCAACTTTTCATGGTATAAATTTTTAAATTATTTTATTCAGCCAAGAGGTATGCTTCGTAATCGTATAAGTCTGAATTAACTTTTATTTTTATAACAATTGGATCAAATTTAAAATCCTTAATAAAATAATATCATTTTTGTTTGTTAAGAACTTCAAAAACATTGTTTTGCGTTATATTTTATATTTAAATTCCTAGCAAAATTTTCTTTATCACTTTTTAAATTACATTATGAAATTAAATTTGAAAAATTATTTACTGAAGTTATATATTTTTTAAATATAAATAATATAAAAATTTATTTTTTTTTGTTCGTGAAACTTCTAAACATTCATTACATTCACACTCAGATGAATTTTTGTTCTTATTTTTTTTGGTTGGGAAGAAATCCAGACAATGGTAATAAAGAATAAATTTGATAGATTTAAAATATTTAAGAAATAAACAATAAATGTTTTAAAAATTACGTAAATTAATTAATTTGATAGCAATACTAAACAAGTTTGTGTTTCCATAAAGAATCTATATAAAAGATAAATTTTAATTTAAATATATGGAATATTTTGTAATAATATATATTGTTTGAATAATAACTTTTGAAAAAAAAATTATAATAGTGATTTTATTACTTATTCAAACTCTAACCTAAAAGTTGGATTTTGAATCTTTTTTTTAAATTTGGGTTTTTGTTTATATATATATTTTTTTAAGTTAGCTTTAGCGTTAATCTTTTCTGGTTGACTCATTAAAAATAAAAGGTATTTGGTTGGATCCCATCTAACTCAAATAAGTATAATTTAATGAAGATTAATATAGTCTAATATAATTTTGGATGAAATAATTAATTAATAAAGTAAATTACTTTGAATTAAAAATTTCTTGATCTAAAATCAATTAAATAATTTAATCGGTTATAATTGGTACTATAGTTAATCTTGATTCTAGTCCAAATGGGAAAAAGTGGATGACATGAAGATTGAATAGCATGTGATATCACCAACCAATAAGGATGATTGTGTGTGCTGCACAATCTTCTCACTCTGCACAAAAATGGTTTTTATGGTCACTCAAAGCCATGCCATTTCAAGTGAAACAAACAAAACAAAATAAAAACATCATTCAAGGGAATCATGATTATGACGTTGCCTACCGGATATGACCATGTTATTCGTATTTAAAAACTGAACAAATACATATTTTTATATAAATATTATTCGCATAAATTATTTTCTCAAAAAATTGGCAACTAATTTTTATTTTTAAAATTATATATATAACATTTAAATCACGTTTTCCCATTTACAATATTAACATAAGAAATATATTTTTAAATAATCAAGTTCAACATAATTTTTTACCTTTTCAATGGTTAAGTTTATATTATTTGGTTTTAGTTTGTTTATTATAATTGTTATGAAAGTTTAGGACTTTAATTTGCTCATACTAATATTATTAAAAGGTTTTGGAATCAAATAATTTATTGGAAAATAGGAGAGTCTCAAATAATAAACTTAATAATAAATAGATCACAAAACGGATTAGGTCCATTAGGCTAACTCGCGGAGTGGGGCAGGTCAATCCGTGATCTATTTTATTAATAATTTTTTTAACGTGATATAATATAAATAGTCAGAAAAATAATATATAATATAAATATTTATGAAAAGAGAATTATAAAAATCTTGGTATCTAATAAAGAGAATTCATAAAGTCTCATTATCTCACTATTAAGAAAATTTAAAAAGTTTTATAATTATTTAAACTTACTTTAGGTGAAACACTTTCCTTTCTCTAACACAAACTCCTATCTCTCATCTCCTCTTACTCATTATCTCTTTCTTACTCATCCTTTCTCATAAGGTAAAAATCATATATATCTCATAATTTTTTACTCTTTTTTTATTAAAAAATTTAATTTAAAAATAATAAAATAAAATAAGAAATATATCTTATCAGCCTGTTTTAGCGGGATAAACCAAGACTAATAATTCACCGTCACTATAACGAGTTAGTGTGCGCAACCAACGGGGCAAAGGCGGGATGCGCAAAAGATCCCTAATAACAAGTTAAATTTGAATATGTTCTTTATAAGTCAAAAAGGTAATGAATGGTTCAAAATTTCTAACATTTGATATTAAAAAAATGTAGTTTAATGGGCTCAATTCAAAATATTAAGTTCATACTATTAACACCCTCCCGTTTTATCCTTCACCTCCTCAGTTTGTTTTTATTTTATATTTTATATTTTAAAAATACTTTATTAACTCTTAATCCAAAATTATTTTTATCTAAAAAAATTATTATTATAATTATTTATTTATAATTTAATAAACTACCTCTTAATTCAAATTATTTACTTAAAATATAATCTTATATTATTTATTAAACAAATATTTTTATGATTATTTAGAGTTTCAATAATTCTTATAATTAATGATATAAAAATGATTATATAATTTTTAAAACTATTTACTTATAATCTAATCAACTAACTATTTACTTATATTTTTCAATAATTTTTAATCCAAATTATTTATCTAAAAGAAAGTTATATATTTTTTTATAACTATTTACTTATAATTGATCAATTAATTTTTAACCTAATTTATTTACCTAAAAATATTCTTATGATTATTTGTTAAACAAGTATGTTTATAATTATTTATAGTTTTAATAAATTTCATAATTAATTATCTAAAAATAATTATGTAATTTTTAAATTTGTTATTTATAATTTTAAAAAATATTTCCTAATCTAAATTATTCACCTAAAAATGTTCGTTAGTTATTTCTTAAAACAACTTTTTCTTTCCATTAGTTCTGCTTTCAATTTTTCTTATAAACTTATGTAAAAAACATACTTAATTTTTATAATTATTTAACTAATCATAATTTTACAATTATCTTCCTTATACTACATGTAAAAAATAATAATTGAACATTAATAATATATAACATATAACAAATTTTATGTATAACTTTTAAATAAATTAATAATTGAACATTAACATTAACCTATTAGAAACAAACATATAACTAATTACGTATATTTACCTTTTGTTATTAATTACCTTTGAATAATAACAAGTAATTGAATATCATCTCAAATAATCGATTATGCAATGGGACATAATTATGTCATTTCTTATATCGTCAATTATAATCGATTACATTGGTCTTTTTCTTATTACCAGATATAGAGTGTGATAATGTGAAAGTGCATGTCTAAGAAAGTTTTGACTAAGAAAAACTTGATATTTAAGTGTGTCCATTAATGATCCACCTATTTTTCTTATAAACTTACATGGTGTACCAAATCACAGTCTACAATTTATTGTTATAGTAGATAATACTATTCATAGTAAGAAGTGCATAAGTCAATTTTAAAATCATGACGAAAACAAAACATGAGATAGAGAAGTTTAATGAAAATAATTTCTCATTATGAAAATTAAAGATGAAAATAATTCTCACAAAGGACAATTGCGTAGATGCAATTGGAGAAAAACATGTGAACATCACATATTAAAAGTGGAAAGAAATGAATAATAATGCAATTGTAAATTTGCACTTAGCAATGACAAATGCAGTTTTATCATTGCAGAGAAGATTACAATAAAGGAGATTTGAGACACTCACCAAATTTTATGAAGTGAAGTCACTTCACACAAGAATATTCTTAAAGAGAAAAATTTATACTCTTCCACTGAGTGAGTACATATCGGTGATGGACCACATTAACAACCTTAACACGTTTGCCCAACTTTCAGGAACAAATTTCAACATAATTGAAAATGAATGTTCAAAACTTCTACTTCAAAGTTACTTGATTCATATAATCAACTCGTTATCAACATAACAAATAACAATATTATTGGATGCCTACATTTTGAAGATGTTACTAGAACTATTCTTGAAGAAAAATCTAGACGAAAAAGTAAGGTAGATAGTGTGGAAAGTTCAAAGCAAGTAGTGACTTTGACAATGACGAAAAGTAAATTAACAAACTGTGGATCTAATAGGAGTCAAACTCATGGTAGATCAAAGTCTAAAAGCAAGAAGCATTTTAAATGCTCCATTGTGGCAAGAGAAGACATCACTACAAAAAAAACGCTATAATCCGTAGGTAATGCACTCACCTAAACAAAATATTTTTATTTATTACAACCCCCTCCCTTAGTTTTTATTATTACCTAGAACCCCTTCCCCTTTATATTATATTTTTATTATTTATTATACTTTCGAAACTTTGAATTATTATTAGATTAAGGGAATTGTCATTGGCGGGATTCGAACCCGATGCACTCGAGTTGGAAGCTGATACTCCAACCACTAAGCTATTAGGATATTTTGAAAATAATTTACAAATAAATTATATTTATATTTATCCAGTCTAAATATATAAATATAAAATATATAAATATAAAATATATATAAATATAAAAAATATATAAATATAAAAAATATATATAAATATAAAATATATAAATATAAAATATATATAAATATAAAATATATATAAATATAAAATATATATAAATATAAAATATATTTATATTTTGATATATTTATATATTTATACATTTATACATTTGTATTTATATATTTATATTTATATATTTATATTTATATATTTATGTATTTATATATTTATGTATTTATATATTTATATATTTATCTATTTATATATTTATGTATTTATGTATTCATATATTTATGTATTTATATATTTATGTATTTATGTATTTATGTATTTATATATTTATGTATATATATATTTATGTATTTATATATTTATATATTTATATATTTATATATTTATATATTTATATATTTATATATTTATATATTTATATATTTATATATTTATATATTTATATATTTATATATTTAAATATTTAAATATTTAAATATTTAAATATTTAAATATTTAAATATTTAAATATTTAAATATTTAAATATTTAAATATTTAAATATTTAAATATTTAAATATTTAAATATTTAAATATTTAAATATTTATATATTTAAATATTTATATATTTAAATATTTAAATATTTATATATTTATATATTTATATATTTATATATTTATGTATTTATGTATTTATGTATTTATGTATTTATGTATTTATGTATTTATATATTTATATATAAATATATTTATATATTTGTATATTTGTATATTTATACATTTGTATATTTATATATTTGTATATTTATATATTTGTATATTTATATATTTATATATTTATATATTTTATATTTATATATTTTATATTTATATATTTATATATTTTATATTTATATATTTATATATTTATATATTTATATATTTATATATTTACACGAATTAATATAAGTATAATTTAGTTGTAAATTATTATTAGAATATCCTAATAGTTTAGTGGTTGAAGTATCGGTTTTCAACTTTAAGGTACTCGAGTTCGATTCTTGCTAGTGACAATTCTTTTAGTTTAATATAATTTACCTACGGATAGTAATTACGTAGGTAATTACCTACGGAATTACCCACAGATGATATTACCTACGGATATCCGTAGGTAATGGATAATTACTCACGGATAGAATTCCATAGGTAATATCCGTAGGTAATGTACAATTTAATTACCTACGGATAATATCCGTAGGTAATGGATAATTACCTACGGATAGAATTCCGTATGTAATATCCGTAGGTAATGTACAATTTACCTACGGATTTTCATCCGTGGGTAATATCCGTAGGTAATGTAAAATTTACCTACGGATTTTTATCCGTGGGTAATATCTGTAGGTAATGTAAAATTTACCTACGGATTTGTATCCGTAGGTAATAGGTTTTTTTTTGTAGTGCATGTAGAGAAATATTGTTGGCAAAGGAAGACATGTAGAGAAAGATTGTTGGCACAAGAAGACATGAGGAAAACTCTGAAGCATCAAACTCACAAGATTGTGTTACAAGTACCTTAGAAGACAGAAATA